ACACACACACACAGACTGCTGATTCCATACACACAGACTGCTGAGAACATACACACACACACACACAAGCTGCTGAGTACATACAAACACACAGAAACACAGACTGCTGAGTCCACACACACAGATTGCTGAGTCCATACACACATACAGACTGCTGAGTCCACACACACACACTGCTGAGTCCTTACACCCACACTGAGTCCATACACACACTGCTGAGTCCATACACACACTGCTGAGTTCATCCACACACACAGACTGCTGAGTCCACACACACAGACTGCTGAGTCCATACACACATACTGCTGAGCACATATACACAGACTGCTGAGTCCATATACACACACACATACTGCTGAGTCCACACACACAGACTGCTGAGTCCACACACACATACAGACTGCTGAGTACATACACACAGACTGCTGAGTCTATACACACACAGACTGCTGAATACATACACACAGACTGCTGAGTCCATATATACACACACAGACTGCTGAGTCTATAGACACACACACACACAGACTGCTGAGTCCATACACACACTGCTGAGTTCATCCACACACACAGACTGCTGAGTCCACACACACAGACTGCTGAGTCCATACACACATACTGCTGAGTACATACACACAGACTGCTGAGTCCATATACACACACACATACTGCTGAGTCCACACACACATACTGCTGAGTCCACACACACATACAGACTGCTGAGTACATACACACAGACTGCTGAGTCTATACACACACAGACTGCTGAATACATACACACAGACTGCTGAGTCTATAGACAGACACACACACAGACTGCTGAGTCCATAGACAGACAAACACACAGACTGCTGAGTCCATACACACACACACACACACACAGACTGCTGAGTCCATACACACACACACACACACTGCTGAGTCCATACACACACACAGACTGCTGACCACACACACACACACACACAAACAAACATACACACAGACTGCTGAGTCCATACACACATACAGACAGACTGCTGAGTCCATATACACACACACAGACTGCAGAGTCCATACACACACACAGACTGCTGAGTCCATACCATCACACACACACACACACACAGACTGCCTAGTCCATACACACACACACACACACAAACAAACACACAGACTGCTGAGTCCATACACACATACAGACAGACTGCTGAGTCCATACACACACATACACACATACACACAGACTGCTGAGTCCATATACACACACACACAGCTGAGCTGAGTCCATACACATACACACACACACAGACTGCTGAGTCCATACACACACACACACACACACACACTGCTGAATCCATACACACACACACGCAGACTGCTGATTCCATACACACAGACTGCTGAGCCAATACACACACACACACACTCACACACACACACACACACACAGACTGCTGATTCCATGCACACAGACTGCTGAGTCCTTACACACACACACACACACAGACTGCTGAGTCCATACACACACAGACTGCTGAGTCAATACACACATACAGACTGTTGAGTCCATACACACACTGCTGAGTCCATATACACATACTGCTGAGTCCATACACACATACACAGTGCTGAGTCCATACACACATACACAGTGCTGAGCCCATACACACACAGACTGCTGAGTCCATACACACACACACACACAGACTGCTGAGTCCATACACACACACACTGCTGAGTCCATACACACACAGACTGATGAGTCCTTACACACACACAGAGACTGCTGAGTCCATACAAACACAGACACATAGACTGCTAAGTCCCCCTCCCCACACACACACACAGAGACTGCTGAGTCCAAACACACACAGGCTGCTGAGTCCACACACACAGATTGCTGAGTCCATACACACATACAGACTCCACACACACACACACTGCTGAGTCCATACACACACACTGCTGAGTCCATACACACACTGCTGAGTCCATACACACACACAGACAGACAAACAGACTGCTGAGTCCACACACACATACAGACTGCTGAGTCCACACACACACTGCTGAGTCCATACACACAGACTGCTGAGTCCATACACACACAGGCACAAACACAGACTGCTGAGTCCATACACACATTCAGACTGCTGAGTCCACACACACAGACTGCTGAGTCCATACACACACGCACAAACACAGGCTTCTGAGTCCATACACACATACAGACTGCTGAGTCCATACACACACTGCTGATTCCATACACACATACAGACTGCTGAGACCACACACACACTGCTGAGTCCATACACACACACTGCTGAGTCCATACACACACACACAGACTGCTGAGTCCATACACACATACAGACTGTTGACTCCACACACACACACTGCTGAGTCCATACACACATACAGACTGCTGAGTCCATACACACATACAGACTGCTGAGTCCATACACACACACACACACACACACACACACTGACACACACAAGCTTCCTCACTAGCAGACAGACACAGACAGACACACACACAGTGTATATCAAGCCTACCTGTTGCAGGGGGTCAGACAGCCATCTTCATGCCGTTCCAGCAGCAGCATGGTCTACCGCTTAATGGTGGGGGTGGGGCTTATGTGCGGGAGGCGGGGCTTAATTTGGGGTCGGTGCCTGTGCCGGGGAAGCTGCTGAAAATACCCAGTGCTTCAGCCCCTCTGTCCTGCATTCCCTCGGGCTGTCACAGACTGTTACAGTCCGAGGGTATATAATTTAAGCTCATGGCCAGCAAGTTGCTGGCATTTGGGGGGTTCCAAGGGGGGGCACAGCATTACTGTGTTTGATGTTCCGAAACACTGAGCTGTGCTTGCACACTTGACTAAACACAGTAAAAAAGAATTAGGATTTTCTGTCTCTAAACAGTTAACAAATAAATCAATATCAATGACTCTAGGATCAATGACAAAATGTCAGTCGTCTATCTCACACTCCACGTTGTTTCAAGTGCTCCATGGCTCATGCTACGAACAATGACCCAGACTAGGCAATAAAAAAAGTTAAACTTTTTTGCTGTGAACACCACACTTCCCCCAAAAAGGATTCGCTTTCTTTAAACCATTATCAAGACAGTATATTAGTAAGTGGTAACCTAGTCTCACAATAGGAACAATAACATATGGCCAATCTCCTATCTCCCCACTCACTTTGTTTTAAGTGCCAAAGGCAGGAGCTAATAGGGTGATACAGCTGCTAGACAATAGCCTTGTCTCACATTATAATCAATGACCCAGGCTAGGCAATAGAAACTTTATTCTCTGTTACTGAACACTCCATACTCCTCTAAAAAATGATTTTCTTTCACCAAGCAGTTAACAAAAACAAACAAACAAACAAACAAACATTGGAAACCTGGGCTCACACTAGGAACTAGGATCTCCAAGTCTACTCCATAACTCGTGCAGAATGTAGTTTTCCATGCATCACCTTCTGTATCTGCAGTAGGTTATAAGCCCCCATTAGATTTAGTTTAGTTTAAATAGTACTGGTCTTTACTCTCAACAGTAACTACGTAATAAGAGTTAAGGGGGAATTCCCAATAGCCCACACAAGGACAAAGACAGCCAATATTTTTCCCTTAAAAAAATCCAGATGAGTATGAGGGATGGATTAATCCTTTCTGCATATTTTGTCATATGCATTCTTTCAGTATCTTGAATTCTGCTTCTGACAAGGGATACAACAAACAAAACAATGCAATTTGTAAGAATTCCAAAGTGGGACATATATGTATATTTGTACTTCTAGCACTTTATTATCACGTTTTTGGCACAGTTTATCGTATTGTTTTTTTTTTTTTGTATCTATTTTGCAAGGTTTTGGGTTTCCTTTGTGGATTTACTGCTGCATATATTATAGTGAGCGCTTACATATTTTCTTTCTTTACTGACAAGGGATAGATGCATCTGAAAGGTATAAACGCTCTTAGATCAATCAAATAATTGGATATCATCTAGTGGAAGTTTCTTACACAGGAGAAGGGAGGAATAAATTAACACTCCTCTCTGCATAGCAGGTGTCTGCATGCTCCAGACTCCATCTTGTAAATCTGTTTGCACCAATTCTTCCAAGGTCTTGGGGACCGTAGCTATGGTGCATTTGTCTTTTAATTAAGCATAATGCATTTATTTTGCTTTTTAAGTTAGAAAGTGGTGCTTGTATTATAGATTTGATGTATTAATTATGCTTGCTTTTTCTCCAGTGTCATATGTGTTTGTATTTAAATGTCATTGTTCAAAGTAAAATGTTGTGTGATAGTTCCATTAGGAACTGTGTGTTGTGTTTGGAAGGGAACTCTAGTAACAGAGTTTCAGCTTACTGGCTGTACTGTTCCCTGGTACTGGGAACCTTTAAAGGGACACTATAGTCACCAAAACCACTACAGCTTAATGCTATGCTGAGCATTTACTAATTAATATTTCTCATCACTGTCAAAACTATGAAAAACACTAACTGTTAATATTTTTAAAGCAGGGGCTATCCTAAGCCTAGCTGCCATGGTTCTTTGACCTCAGCAGCATTAAGTAGTTGGGGTTACAATGATAAACTGATGTAATTTTTATCTTCTGCTTACTACCACATTTTTGATGTTACCATCTCAAAGAGTTTGACACTAGAACTTTGGTTCTCATCTAAACTCACATGACTTATCACATCATTGTTACTTCACTAGTAAGCATGACCAGAAAGAACTCTAGTGCAGGGGAAGGCAACCTACGGCACGTGTGCCATGGAGAGCATTCGAGGTGTCTTTGCACGGCACTCAAGGCTGCTAGAGCCAAACAGCATTATTACACTTTGCTTTAATGCATTATCATTGGCAATCTCTAGAATAAGGGTTGGCAACCTTCGGCACTCCAGATGTTTCAGACAACATTTCCCATAATGCTCTAACAGCCAGAATGCTAGCAAAGCAACATGGGAGGTGAAGTCCACAACATCTGGAGTGCCAAAGATTGCCTAGCCCTGCTAGAAGAACAGGAGGAATGAAATCTGGCACATATTTTACTTTAAATCTTTCTCCCTATTGATTAATTAACAAAATAGAAAATAGCAATGTCAGGTGCGTGTTTCCTGGAAATAAAGCCGAAGTGGACAAAAAAAGCTCTTCAAGGGTTACTCCAAGCACAATGACCACAGTCAGTGATTTGAAGTGGTCATGGTGTCCTGGAGACTCTATGTACACTGTTTCACACTGAAACGATGCACATACAAAGTTTAATCCCTTTACTGCTGAAGGTGTAGCTCCACCTCTAGCAGCATTATTAGTAGCAAATGTTAATTAAGACACTGAGGAATCAGGCAAGGCCTAAACAGAACAGGGACACATGAACGGTGTGGGGGGGAGGGGGCAGGGGGAGAGAGGGGTGTATAGCTAAAATGGTAAGGAGGTCTTAGAATGGTGGGAGGAGGATTAGGGGCAAAGGGGTGGGGAAGTATAAATAGGTGGACATTCTACAGGCTAAGCAGTCATCTTAATTATCAGTTTGGTAACAGCTTCCCGCCCTCTCTCCCCTTGTTTGTTTCTTTGTTTGTTGTCTGTGGTGTTCATTGTCACAGCGTGGCGGTATATGGCCCTTGTCAGCGGTCCGTGGAAAGCGGATGGGTAGGGCTGTCCCTCCCCTAACCTCAGGTCCAGTTATGGATAACAGACGTGCCTAATAAGCCAATAATCGGCTAGTGGTTAGCATTATAAGAATGGAAGGCCTAGAAAGGCCTTGTGCTGGTTGGGACGAGGGGGAGGGCAGCTGCCCAATGAATGTTTTTGGTTGGCAAGGTGGTACTCAGTGACGGATATATTTACTGAGTAAGTTATGTATATAGGATATTTTATGTTATAAAGTTGAAGTTTAAAGTGATGTGGAATCAATCAATTGATTATCTTGTGTATCTGCCCCCGGCCAAATTAAAGAAGTAGTGCGTGCACGCTCCTAAAATAATTCACACCAGACACAGGTTTTGGGTTAATGAAAAACTTGAGGAATGTTTATTCTGAGGGGATAGCATGCCCCTTATAAATTACATCATATGCTTTGTCAGAGATAACATGAAATAATACATCAATAATTGGTTAGGTGTTAAGTGGTTCATTTATTGCTCTTCCTACCGGGTGTGATTTCACTGGTATCTTGGAGGTCTCCCCTAGATTCCAGCGCCATCTTGTTAGTGAGGGTGTTAGTCGATGTCGAAGGGAAACTCCATAGTGGCCATTTTAGGTAAATCACTTATAAAGTTGAATAATGCTGATTGTAGGTATGCTAAGTAAATAGGCATTTTACTAACATAAATTGAATTAATATTTTTGTCCACAACAGTCCCCCCTTAAAATGACTATTTACTAAAGAGACAACAACTAACTGACCCTAATAATGTCCCTACTTGGCTGCAGTTCATCTGTCTGAACAAGCCTCAAACGCTTCACTGCGTGGGTATCCCGTAGTGGCTAACCCACTACATCTCCCGCGTCAGACTTCTACCCGTGGAGACAGACGCTGTCCCTATGCTGTCCCTATAAGGAAGTAGTTGTCTCTTTGAGGTGGTGGGACTGAAGATGTGTGTGCGGTGTGTCACAGTCTATATTGTCAATGTCCTGATGTAGGAATATAGGTGTGGTGCGGTCAATGGTCTGACCTACAGTCTTCTGTAAATATTTCTGCACACAGGGCATCACGCAGCAACCCAGGAAGAGAAAGAGAATTACCACAGTAAGAACTGCCATACCTGCTTGAAGAAGAGTTTTCTGCCATCCACTCATCCAACCAAACCATCTGTCCCATGAAGTGTGGACTCCCGAGTTCTTTGTTAATTCATCAGAGAGACTTTCTAATTTCTCTATGGCCTTAGTTACCTTACCATTGGGACCTGTATTGTCTGGGAAGAAGTTACAGCATGTCATAGTATCGGGAAGTATTTTACACATGCCCCCCTTCTTTGCTAGTATGTCTAAGGCCATTCGATTCTGAAATGTCATTTGGGAGGTAGTCTGTAACTGTTCTGCCAAGCCCCGAGGGCATCTCTCGTGTAATTGACAAAGCGTTGCTGAATATAGTAAATATAATTGATCCAATTAACATTCTTGTTAGCGGTGATGAGTAGGATCAAGGATTCGAATCCTGCTGCAACCTCATCTCTGGCCTTGAACTCGTTTGAACCCCCCTTGGGGTTCGATATATACAGGGAGTGCAGAATTATTAGGCAAATGAGTATTTTGACCACATCATCCTCTTTATGCATGTTGTCTTACTCCAAGCTGTATAGGCTCGAAAGCCTACTACCAATTAAGCATATTAGGTGATGTGCATCTGTAATGAGAAGGGGTGTGGTCTAATGACATCAACACCCTATATCAGGTGTGCATAATTATTAGGCAACTTCCTTTCCTTTGGCAAAATGGGTCAAAAGAAGGACTTGACAGGCTCAGAAAAGTCAAAATAGTGAGATATCTTGCAGAGGGATGCAGCACTCTTAAAATTGCAAAACTTCTGAAGCGTGATCATCGAACAATCAAGCGTTTCATTCAAAATAGTCAACAGGGTCGCAAGAAGCGTGTGGAAAAACCAAGGCGCAAAATAACTGCCCATGAACTGAGAAAAGTCAAATGTGCAGCTGCCACGATGCCACTTGCCACCAGTTTGGCCATATTTCAGAGCTGCAACATCACTGGAGTGCCCAAAAGCACAAGGTGTGCAATACTCCGAGACATGGCCAAGGTAAGAAAGGCTGAAAGACGACCACCACTGAACAAGACACACAAGCTGAAACATCAAGACTGGGCCAAGAAATATCTCAAGACTGATTTTTCTAAGGTTTTATGGACTGATGAAATGAGAGTGAGTCTTGATGGGCCAGATGGATGGGCCGTGGCTGGATTGGTAAAGGGCAGAGAGCTCCAGTCCGACTCAGATGCCAGCAAGGTGGAGGTGGAGTACTGGTTTGGGCTGGTATCATCAAAGATGAGCTTGTGGGGCCTTTTCGGGTTGAGGATGGAGTCAAGCTCAACTCCCAGTCCTACTGCCAGTTCCTAGAAGACACCTTCTTCAAGCAGTGGTACAGGAAGAAGTCTGCATCCTTCAAGAAAAACATGATTTTCATGCAGGACAATGTTCCATCACACGCGTCCAAGTACTCCACAGCGTGGCTGGCAAGAAAGGGTATAAAAGAAGAAAATCTAATGACATGGCCTCCTTGTTCACCTGATCTAAACCCCATTGAGAACCTGTGGTCCATCATCAAATGTGAGATTTACAAGGAGGGAAAACAGTACACCTCTCTGAACAGTGTCTGGGAGGCTGTGGTTGCTGCTGCATGCAATGTTGATGGTGAACAGATCAAAACACTGACAGAATCCATGGATGGCAGGCTTTTGAGTGTCCTTGCAAAGGAAGGTGGCTATATTGGTCACTGATTTGTTTTTGTTTTGTTTTTGAATGTCAGAAATGTATATTTGTGAATGTTGAGATGTTATATTGGTTTCACTGGTAATAATAAATAATTGAAATGGGTATATATTTGTTTTTTGTTAAGTTGCCTATAATTATGCACAGTAATAGTCACCTGCACACACAGATATCCCCCTAACATAGCTAAAACTAAAAACAAACTAAAAACTACTTCCAAAAATATTCAGCTTTGATATTAATGAGTTTTTTGGGTTCATTGAGAACATGGTTGTTGTTCAATAATAAAATTAATCCTCAAAAATACAACTTGCCTAATAATTCTGCACTCCCTGTGTATATATATATATATATATATATATATATATATATATATATATATAATCTGGGTTTCTCTTTTTATCCTGAAGTACGTGTGTTGGGAATCAAGTGGGCCTTGGTGGTTATCAGAAATTATATGTATAGGCATGATGGCTTTGGTCAGAGTGCATTCTCCCCACCACAGGCCAGTCATTTTAGATCTGAGTTGCATATCACCACATAGCCAATAAATATCTCCCAATGACTTGACTTGATTTACTAATAAGGTAGTGGGAGGTTTCCGATAGGTGGCACAGTAGCCGGGAGGGAAACTACCCACAAATTTATCAGTGGCTCCGTGTATAGTGTAGCAAGTGTAATTACCTGGATACACGGTGATTCCATCAGGTGGCCTGAGATTCCCTTGAGTTATTGGATATACCTTTTTCCATGATTCACATACTGATGAGTTTGTGGCTGATTGTACATAGAGGCTTAGAAAACACATCTCAACATCAGGGGGTAGATTAAAAGGCACTGTACCCACATGGTGTCTGGCCCCACCACAGACATAACAGTTAGTTTATTGTGTGAATTAGCATTATACCTCATCCACTCAAGTCATAGGTTGGTATCTGAAAAACCGGTCTAAACAGCAATAGTGTCCTCAAATGTAGGATTGGCAATTGCCACCATGTCCTTAAGAGTTTTAATGTGTGGTTTTAGAGGGTTAGTGGTCATGTGTGTAGAGTCTACCCAGTCAGGTGATGTATGCATGTCTTGTAAATAGAAGGTCCCCAACTTGTTATATGAGCCACCCCCTCTCCAGTACATCCCCATTACGTACTCTCCAGTGTCTCCTGGGCTGGGATGTTCTATGTTTAAGGTGAGTTTCACTGGGGTAGACCCTGTTGGCTTACATAAGGTCATTCTGTGTAATAAGGGTTTCCCATGTATGTCTGTAGCCCCCTGGTTGGCCTATGTTCCAACCTGCTACTTTCCAGGTACTACAATGATGTCCCCAATGGTCACCTGTCACACAAATGTATGGGTCCTTTCTATTGGGTATGTCTTTGTATATTGCGTTTTGTGATTGTGGAAAAGTACAAGGAACAATATCACAGTAATCAAAGGTAAAAGTAGCTACATGTGTGTTTGAAGAGTTATACCAGAATGTGTAAACACGATTACCTTTTGTGATAGCAACTTGTTGGGCCTTTAATAGGCCTAGTAGCAGAAGTAGGCACAGGAAGTTAATGGTTTAGCGGGATCTGCTTCCTCTGGATCAGGAACTTTCTTATAGTGCGAGGCGTGTATCTAGGTATTCTTCCCAGCCAGTTTTACCGAGGTAAACGTGGTCAATAGGACTTGGAATGGACCATCAAACCTTGGCTCAAGAGTGTGCTTTCTCAGGAATTTCTTGACCATAACCCAGTCACCAGGAAGGAGTTTGTGTGCCTGTATTT